GGATCAAACTTCATTATACAATTACCACAAGAGTATCAAAGAGAACTCTTTGGTAGTTTATATATATGGCAAAATGCATAATATTTTATTTAATGAATTAAATTATCTTTCCAAATCTTGTAATCATAATTTGGCTGCATAAATGAATATTTTGTTATCTAAGGTATAGAATAATTCATACTTTGATTCAAATCCAACTATCTATTATTATTTTTTCAGTAATATACATTTTTAGATATTATCCCAGGATTTTTACTTATAAAATAATATTAGTAATAACTTATGGAAATAGTAAGAATATAGGAAACTTTTAATAATTTTACTTCCTCATAATATAATATCTAATTAAACAAATATCGTTAAATATTATTTTAAGAAATAGGCAAAAAGTTTATTAGTTTGTGTTAGTTTATTAATTTATACATTTGATTATATTGTTGATGTGTTATTCAAACATTATTATTATTCAATATTTATTTCTATATTGAAAGTCTAAAATTTCTTAGATTAATGAAAATTTCAAATTGAGGTTAGGAATTATGAGAAATGAAAAATAATAAAATACTATGAATGAGAAAGAATCAATCATAAGCATAGTCGATTATTTTTTCTCATCATTTTTGGTGTTAATTGGAATTTTCTTCCTTTATTTCATCATACTTGTTTCAGATTAAGTAACTGATTTACTGACATATAAGGATAAATATTCATTTTCTTTATTATCATTATTACAGCATTTTTCATCCTAAAATTAACTTTGATTTTTCAATGCAATCTGAATGAGGGAAATTAAATTTATGATTTCTCATTTCAACATAATCAAACTACTTCTTTAGAAGTAGTTTGATTATCTTCTTCACCCAGTTTAAATATATTACCAATTGAACTTAACTATTTTAAAGCTGACGTCAATTAAAGCTGTTATAATGGAAGAGATCCTGGATAATCAGATTAATTTATCTTTTTGATATCCAAATTATTTTTATTATTCTCCTTTTAAATAATTGTTATCCAAAGTTAATCTTCTTAAACTATCTATCAAGGTAATTGAATTAACGATTTTATTTCCATCCATTTATTCCCAAATAAATTAATTTTTAAAATTTCTTTAGCAACAAGAGAGTTTAAGCATCTAATACAAAAGTAGGACAGTTTTTCAAAATTAATTCGAAAATAGGTAATTCTTCATTCATTTTAATATAGGATATCATTTCTATTTGCTTTTTCTCCTATTTTTTTTCATATTCATCTGATTGATAATACTTGAATAGAGTTTAGACTTATTTTTATTTTTTCATTTAATTATAATGAATATCTCTGATTCTTCCTTCAAATTAACTAAACTTTCTAAATATTTTTAAAACTTTAGTTCTTTCAAATATTTTAAAGGGAATTAATTATAAGATTTATGAATTAATGATATAATATAATGTTCATAATATTTAATAATATTAATAGCTGAATATGTTGATTCATTTTCTAAATGATTAAGAGAAATTTTAGAATATTGAAATTAAGAATTGTAAATTTTATAAGAATTTTAGAAGAAACCTGATAATATTTAGTATTATGTATAAGTATTTATAATATAGGGATTTTTTAATAGGTCTTTATAATAAAATTATAGTGGTGCAATTTAAAATATTTGAAAAAGCAGTCTGTTATGGATCATCATGTATAAAAAATCAAAATAATTGTAAAACATAGACCGAAAAAACCAAATTTATTACAACGCCAACTTTTGAAGTAAAATTACTGCACAACTGATCACTAAGGTTGAAAAACTATTAAATATTATTCACTCTAATTATAAACTTTAGATCAGTTAAAATGAATCAAAGATTAGAGAATTAACAGAAGAAATTAATTTGTATGTCATATAAAAATTTTAATTAAATTTGAATTTGGATACAAGTGAAAGAAAGATATTAAAAAGAATGATCACTTAATTTAATTAATTAAAAAAAAAAAAAATAAGTAAATCCATTCCTTTTATAAATAGATTATACTTAATTATCAATTATAATTAGATAAATTTGTATAAAGCAGTAAATAACGGAATGAGAGAGTATGTCCAAAATAAATTAGTATGTCCAAAATAAATTAAGACATCAAATAATATAATAATATTTAGATTGGTATGCAACTTAATATCCTGTTGATAAATTCTAACATATGAAATTAGAGATTAAATAATTATAAACTAAAAATGTTGATTTAGTAAACTAATTGGAATAACAAAGATAATCAAATTCTCAATTACTGACTGATATTTAATTACTTAAATTATAATACGAAAGAATTGAATCTTAAAAACATAAATAAAAAGAATAAAATCTTTGGATTACCATTATTAGTATAAAGATAAGAATCTAAAGATTAACATTAATAAACTTCTAATAAAAAATAAGTCAAAAATATTTCTATTACTCAAATAAGTAAATTAAATAAACTACTGATGACGATAGTTTTGTAATTATTAAAAAGAATAATGAAGATAATTTAGATTATGAAAATATTTCAATATAAATAATCAAAATTGAATTAATGTTGGAAGAACTTGATTAGAGATATAAATAATTGTAAATCAAGCTTAAATTAAGACGGATATGAGAGTAAAGTAAACAATTAGATAAGGATTGATTTAAATCTTAGTTTAAATAAAGGATCTAAACCAATAAATTAAATTATTGATTTCCCAATAAAAATCTTTGAAAATTAAATTATGATTTGAATATCAACCAATATTTAAAATATCATCTTTTAGTCCAATTCTAAATAAATACCACACAATTCCTTTAAATTACTAAAATTAATTCAAGTATTGATTCTTTATGTTTTGCGCTTATTTTTTGGATTAATTAATATTAAAAAAGAGGATTTTTATATTTAATCTTAGACTTAACTATAAGAATAAATGAAGACTCATTTATTTTGTTATAGAAAATAATAAGAAATATCATTAATGTTAAAGGTTTAAAGTTTAAAGAATATTTATCGTTTTATCTAGTATTTTATTTTCTAAAATTTCTCAAATATTCTATAAAATCTTTATTTTATTTAATTAATTGGATTGCTTTTGGAATATATAATTGATAAAAATTACATAAAGTATTAAAATAAGTAAAATTATATGATATATTTAACTTTAAATCTAAAATAAATGTACTAGTTTTTAATAATAATCGATTAGTGGATAATTATTAAATATAGTTTATTGAAAAATAAATTATATATTAATTTGTAAGTAACGAATTTATTTTTTCATAATTAAATTAACTTCAAAAATAGATATTTATTAATTAAAATAAATTTAACGAGTAGAGTATTGCCTATATCTGTTCTTCATTTTGTAAATTCCCAAAGAACATTATTAAATCCTCGAGAGACTACAGTTATTTCTATTCAGGAAATAATTTTGCCGCAATTACATATTATTTATTATCAGAATATATCGTTAGAGAAAAGAAGGATTCAGTAATACAATAATAACCAAGGAATTAAATAAAGACATAAGTAATTGTAAAGGAAGCGGAACATGCTTTTTGTGAATAAAGAATTGGTGAACAGTAAAAAGAAATAAATTTATGGGGAATAAATTACGATAATTGAATAATTATGATCTGATTTACATAATGTATCACATCAATTAGATTTGAAATTTTAATAAATTAATGATTTAAATCATGATGTTAAATAGAGATTTAAATTAAGAGATGATAAAATTAAATAATAAGATGAAATTAGTAATTAATTGTAAACTGAATTAAATCATTGAAGTTAGAAGTAGAAAATCTTTAACAATAAGTTCAATTTAAGGTAAGAACTTACTACTTGTAAAGAAAAGTTAGCAACTGCTTTGTGAGAAGTAGGAGTTTTACGTTTATATAAAGAAGAGGAATAGAAGTTGAAGAACCCTCATTTATTAAATCATAATAAGAAGCTTACTGAAAATAAATATCATTTTTAGAAGATGAAATATCAATATTAAGAAACCTTTTGGCAGTTCAAGAAAGGATATATGGTAAACTTTATTTGATAATTATAGAATCAAAATCTTGCACTTGATAATAAATATAATACATTAGAAGGAGAACTTGATGAACTTAAATTAGATAATTAAAGATTATTATAAATTAATGATCATTTGAAAAAATAATTATAAAAAGTTAGAAATGAAAGAAATTAATTTGAAAGAGAATTGAGAATTATGTTAATTATTTCATTTAAATAGAAGTTTATAAAAAATATAAAAAAAGAAAGGATTAATTAATTAAGAATTGAAAAAGATAAGTATTTATAATCTGAATAATTAGTATCTGCTTTATAGTTACTAGCTGAACTGTTAAAATAGGAATAGATTAGAACAAGATAATTAGAATTAGAGATTGAAAGATTGATAATTAAATTAACCATTTCTTGAAATTGAACATCTTGTTGATTAAGATGAAATCAATCAACTTAGAAAATAAATTTAAGATCTTTAAAGATAAAAATTTGATTTATATTAATAGATATAGAAACTTAAGTAATAATCATATTTATATGCTTGAAAATGGAAACATTTATATCAGAAATAGATAGATTAAAAATTTAATTAAAAATGAAAATTGAAGAAAGTGAAAAAATGAGAGCTCAATGAACTTAATCACATTTAGAATGAAGAGTTCCTAAATTGGAATAAACAATCAATTTATTAAGATAAAATTCATAAGAATTAATTTATAGTTGAATTTTACAACAAAAGAATATGAAGATTTCTATGCTAATTAAGTTAATTAATTATAATTATCAAATAATAAATTAGATTGTAAGATAGAAAACAATATAAAATAGATAAGATTTTAAGACAGATCTAAATAAAATTGGAGTTGATAATGATAGATTGAGAAGAGAAAAAGAGTACTATGAGAGTAGATATAAATATTTACATCATAAAATTGAATATCTATAAAGATTAAAAGCTGAATCACTTTAATAAGATCCTTTGCTAGAATTGAGAGGAGTGGATTAAAATAAAGTTAATGAAGAAATTGTTGATTTGGAACAATAATAATTGGTTTTATAAGATTAATTAGCAAAATTATAATAATAAAATGAATAAAAGTATAAAGAAATTGATGATATGCATTATTGAGATAATTAAGCAGAATTAAATAAATTTAGAAATATTCAAGATTTATATAATAAACTTTAATAATATAATTTATTATAAACTAAGATTAAAAATTTATAATAAACAAGTAGTAATTTTTTAATAGAAAAGAAAATTATATAAGTGAATCAGAATCTCATATTAATGATTTATAAAATTAACTTTAAAAATTAGATTAATAAAAATAAAATTTGAGATTTATAAGCATAATTGTAACAATTATTAGATGAGAATAATGATAATAATTAACTCATTTGATTAATGTATAAAGATATTGAGTAAGTAAATGGATTCTAAAAATGAATTTATTAAATATAAAGGTCTATATGAAAGAGAGTATATATTATTGATTATATTAGATGTTTACAGATTAAAGAGCTCAATTAAGTTAATTAGATAAATAAGTTAGATAAATACCTGCAGAAAGAAATCAAATTTTAGAGAGAATTAAAAAATTATTGGCTGAAATTGAATAATTAGGTAATAATTCTGTTAATGGGTAATTTGTATAATTTAAGAATAAGTTTCAGCAAAAATTAATGAAATTAATTCATTAAAGACATAGATTACTAAACAAGAATCAATTGTTAAATAAGTTAAAGTTATAGATAGTTCTAATCCAACTGATTTAAGGCTTTTATTAGAGGATTTGAAAAAGAAGCTTGATAAATTCTAATAAGATTAATCAAATCTAGAAAAATTAAAGAAAGAGTTGGAAGCAATGAATAGCTTAAATTCTGATTTACACATAAGTAAAAAATGTCTTGATAATTAACAAAATGATATTAAGAAGTTGTATCAATAAATCAAATGATTTATGAAATGAAATAAAGATATAATAGAATATAATTTATAATTAAATGGCTGTATTTATTAAATATATATATATTACATAGGATTTATAAACTTGGAATAACAAATATGCTTCAGTAGTGAAAAATTTAAGATAAGATAATCATCCTTAAATTACAAATCAAACTAATTAATTCACTACAATTATTACCATGTAAGTGAATAATAAATAACCTTAAACATGAATAGATGATATTCAATTCATATAAATCCAGTTAAAATAGATAAAATTTATTCCCTACAGCTTAATAAGTTTAATAAGCAACAATCACAAACAATCAAAAATCAGTGTCATTTATTAGTCAAGTTCATACCTTGAATAAAAACCATCATAAACATGATCTTCCAAAATTATGAATTTAACGCAAGAAGTTATTGAAAAATAATATATAAACAATATGAACATTGATATAAAAATTAATATCATTGAATAATTGGTTTAGGAAGACAACTCAGATCTCAGAGCTTTGATACTTCTCTTGTTCTTTGATTCTAGTAATTGATATTTACAAAGCATCTCTCATCTGAGATATATTACAATTATTTCTTCAGCTCCTTTGTAGCCCCTGAGAAGTAGTGCAGAACGAAAAAAAAAGTTTAAGGATTCAATCTTTTAATCTGTCTCCTGTGAATACTAAGCATTCGATATGATAACAATAGATTTTTGTGTTTGAATACAAAACAATTATTATAGATTCTATTTGTCAATTATGAGAAAATTCAACCAATATAATATGATATTGTCAACTAAATTGGGATTAATTAAATTTATAAAATAGATTATTTATATTAAAAATAATTTAAAATTACTAGAATCTAATAAGATAACATAATTGTTATTTAAAATATACAGTTTGTATTTAATAATTTATTATAAAATAAAATGGATTAGAAATCATAATCAGAAAATACTTATAAAATTCTTATTACAAAAGTGTGAGAGATCATAGAACTTAATTCAAAGAATTTTATACCAGATTGAAGTATTTTAACGACTGTAAAATTTTTAGATTCATTTTAATCATTTATTTGAAATATTAGGATATCCATTTATAACAGATGTTTAATGGGCATAGGCATTTAGGATTCTACAATTAATTTAAAAAAGACCTCAAATATTGATAACAATTTATTAAATGTCAACAATTAATTACTTTTACATTTCTTACAATATTTAAATAATATTAACAGAATATTGAATTTTTAGTAAAAGAATAAAAAAAATTAGTATAATAGTGGTATTATTATTTTATTTTGAAAATTGATTTCATCAATAACAATTAGACTGATTGTATATAATATTATTACAAATTTGTTTTTATTTCATCCATTAATTTTACATATTTAATTCATGAGTTTATGATTCTAATATAAACTAAAGAATTATTGAATATTTACTTTCTGATCAAGTTATGATGATAGCAAATGATATTTTATAGAAAAAGACATATCATTTTATGTATTGAATATAAATATCAAGAGCTCATAAGAATGCTGCCTATATTATTTCATTGATTTCAAATTATTATTCTTAAGATTTACAAAATTTATATTTAGATGAACCTTACAATTAATCAATTACAGAATAATTCAGGAAAACAGAGAGTTGTTTAAAAATTTCAATATTATAAGTATAAAAAATATATTAGAAAA